AGGGCTTCAGAAGTGAGGGGCTCTTCCCAGGCCCCGTGACTAGAGAGGGCAGCACCAAGGCACAAGCCCCACACTTCTGAATCCAGATCCTTCTCTCCACTTTGCCATGGAGATGCCCATGAAGCCCTCACACAACACAGGAATCACTCTATGCCTTCTGCAGGGCTCATCCTGCAACTCATCAACCTAAAAGAGAGTTCTGGTTCCTCGATAGCAGTGCTGGGCTCCTAAGGTTCCTATAGGACATCACTGTTGACTATTATGGGCCTCAACAAGTGTTTCTTGGAAAAGGCTGGTCCCTCCTGGTGCCTGAGGCCATACAGTGTTAAGGGTTCCCAAGGGTTAAGAGTTGCTATTAGCCCACAGGCCATGGGAGGAACTTGTAATGCTTCAGAACAAGTCTGCCACCTGCCCTCTGCCAGCTCCACTCCCATCCCTGCTCTTGTGACTTTGGCTCCTCTCTTGTTTCCACCTTGGTTTTGTCCACCTCTGGTTTTCTTCCTAACATTTACCTCTGTCCCCTTGGTCCTTACTCCTGGTTACTGATTTCATTCTATGACCCACCTGGTTTTCCAGCTTCCATTTGATGACATTTGATGCTCCTGGCACAAATTCTTTTTTTTTTTTTTAAGAGTATTTTTTTTTTTAATATATCTTTATTGATTTCAGAGAGAGGAAAGGAGAGGGAGACAGAGACAGACAGAAACATCAGTGACGAGAGAGTTATTGGGGATCGAGCATGTGCCCTGACTGGGAATCGAACCTCGATCTCCTGGATCCTAGGTCAATGCTCAACAGCTGAGGTACACCCGGCCGGGCCTGGCACAAATTCTGATCCCCAATGTTTTCAACTTCCCCCTCTTTCCCATCATAGACTCCCTGCATACTAGCAGTTCCCTGACTTCATCTCTGCCAGTTCTCATTGTATGAGGACTGAGCTAGAGTTGTCTTGGAGAAGTTGTGAAGGCAGACCACCAAGAGTGGTTTGGTGCTGTTCCCCTTCCCACTGCACCCAACACCTCTCCCCTGCTGTCCCTGTTCTTGTGACACACTGCAGAAGATACTTGCATATGTGTAAACTGAACGATATACAAGATGCTTGTTGCAGCATCATTGAAAATACAGGAGAAATTACTTAAATCTCCATTAATAAGAATAGCTTATACTTTCAAATAATGAGAGGAAGACAGCTTTCTGTATACAGACATGGAGGAACCTTTAAGGCAAATTTTAATGAAAAAAGAAAGAAGCAGAACAATATTTAACTTTTTTGCTCCCATTTGTGTTAATAAAATAGGAAAAGATGCTTGTATATGCATGGAGTTTCTAGGCAAGGCAGCAGAAACAGTGGTTATCTCTGGGGAGGGTAACTGAGTAACTGGGGAAAGGGTAGTAGTGAAATTTCCTTGCCGAGCTTAGTACCATGTGTATAGCACCTATTCAAATATTCTAATGAAAAACAAGATTAAGGCTTTAGAATCAACACAAAGATGTGGAGATAGATGGGACCTTGGGGATCGCTCCTATTGTACAGGTTAGCACATTAAGTCTTTAAGGGATAATTTGTCCAAATTTCCACAATTACCAAGTGACAGAACTATGTCTAGAACCCTCCTTGTCACTGGGCACTTATGCTCAAGGGAATACAGCCTCCAAACCCTGTGTATCAGCGGGACTTACAACATAAATGACAGGGTTATACCAGCCTGAGACATCCGAGACTCAGTTTCTTCATCTGCAAAATGTGAGCAAGAAAGTTGTGAAGTTTAAATTAGGTACTACATGCTTATCCTAGTATCTAGCACATACAAAGCATTCAATGTCCGTTACTGTTGTTTATTATTTGGAGTTGGTTGGGAGAGCTGCCAGGAAGGTTGTCATGGGAGTGTCTGGAGATGATGGCTTGCAGAATAAAGAAGAGAGGCAGAAAGAGAGAGACGTGAATCACATTTGTTTAAACAGTCACTAGAGAATCTCACTGAGTAAATGATGTTTAACATGGAAAACACATGTGTGAGAGAGATATTGTAGAGAGAACTTCCAGCCCCTTTTAGTCACAAAGGCCACTAAGGGCCACCTGTGACCAGCATTGCCTCTTATGCTGAAAAATAAATGTGCACAACCCAGGACCAGCTAGTGTGCTTTTTTCCATCTCCCGTTCATTCCCTGTTGTTAGAAAGCCCTCATTATTCTTGCTAGCCTATTTCTTTTCCTATTTTCTCTTCTTCTGGGGCCACAGGTCAAGTGGTGACTGAGCGCTAAGTGTTCCACTGGGAACTTGCTGGCCTTCCTTGGAGAGGCACCGAAAAGGCCCTGCATCCCGGGCAGTTTGGCTCACAGCGGTCTGGGCTGAGAAGCTTAGCGAGAGCTCCGGCAAAGCGGAGGCTTCTGGGGACCCCTCCCGCCCTTCCCCTTTAAGCCAGAAAGCCATCTCCTTAAAAGCTGATGGGCAAGAATATGAGGACCCCTCCCTGGTTCACCATCTCATGATCTGTAATCATTATATTCCAGCCAGGTTCTGCGATCAGCCCTCCCAGGTTCAAACCCTCACTCACCAGCCGTAGCTCTGCGATCGTGGGCAAGTTGTGTAACCTCTTTGTCCCAATTTCTGTATGAAAAAATGGTGACAAGAATGAATTAATGCAGGTAAAAGGCAGAGCACAGGACTGGGCTCTTAGTAAATTCTTTATAAAGGTTCGTTTGAAACCGTAGCAGCAGCTACAGCAATAGCAGAAGTAAACAAAAGAAATAAAAGGGAGGCCTGGGTATTTGAGAAAGGTCCATAATCGATGACCTCAAGGAAAAGGGTCATTACCACCAACTGCACTTGTGTATGTGCCCCTCTCCCATCCCTCCTCCCCAGCCCCCTCATATGTCTGGTCTTCAGTGGCCTGGGTTGGGAGTAAAGAATGCTGTTTGGCCCAGCCAGGCATGGCTCAGAGGTTGAGCGTCGACCTAGGATCCAGGCGATCGGGGTTCGATTCCAGGTCAGGGCACATGCCCAGTTGTGGGCTTGATCAATGACTCTCTCCTCATTGACCTCATTGATGTTTCTATCTCTCTCTCCCTCTCCTTTCCTCTCTCTGAAATCAATAAAGATATATTTTAAAAAAAGAAAAAGAAAAAAAAGAATGCTGTTTGGGCTCTGGTGGGTTTGCTCAGTGGTTAGAGTGTTGGCCCATGGACTGAAGGGTCTTGGGTTCAATTTCAGCCAAGGGTATGTACCTCGGTTGCAGGCTCGATCCTCGGCCCTGGTTGGAGCCCATGTGGGAGGCAACCAATCAATGTGTCTCTCTTACATAGATATTTCTCCCCCTCTCTCTCTTTCTTCCACTTTCTCTGAAAAAGCAATGGGGAAAAAATCCTCAGATGGAAATTAAAAAAAAAAAGTGATGTTTGGTTCTAATAGTTCTGCAAGTAAGATGACTGACAAATATCTTTTCCTAATCCAGGATGATATGTGATATATCAAAGCTTGAGTGAATACAGCATTGACTTATGTTATTTCAAAGACATAAACATAGGACAAAGTCACTTAACCCAGAAGGCAGAGGTCAATAAATGGTAGATTTGATGTATTTTAAGTCCCACTTTTGGTACATACAGGTGAGGAACACCAGTTAGTTATACTCTGTAGTTTGAAATTGATTTTGATGGTTTGGGCTGGCATTTACCCATGTGATTATCAAGTGGATTCCCTGGTCTTGGGGAAAACTGAAATGTTTATCTATGTAACCAAAATAATTAGACTGTGATCAAACAACTGTTTTTATAGATCAATTCAGAGGAATTCATTGTCATACAGTCATCTAGATAAGGTATTGAATTGGCTTTCAATGTGGCCAGCTCTGTCATTCTATGGAGCAGTGGTCTGACAGGGCACTGTGGTGTAGTAACAGGGCATAGCTTTAAAACAGCCAACTTTTCCATTTGCATAGCCCCTTTCACCTTAGAAAGAGCTTTCACATAAATTATCCATTTGATAAGTTTCTGTAGCCTAAACTCATATTCTGTTTTCCCCAATGGGCCTCATCTGAATGACAGGCAACATTATACCATGCTGGGATGAAAACCTTTAGCCTACCTTACCATGATCACTACATAGCCAGATGAGGAAAGATTTTTCCTGTCCTGTGATGAGCCACAGGATGGTTTTCCAACACAATCTGAAGTTAAAAAAGAATCAACTTGCTTAGAGCTTATAAATAGGGAAAGTTCTAAAAATGCATTTTACTGAATACATTTAAATATTGGTACACTTTCTTTAGTCTCTAAATTCCCCTTGAGAATTTCACTTTACAAATGAAATGCACATTGTATTTTTATTTAGAATCCAGGAAGAGTTCTGCAGATAATCTCAGAGGCAGACTCGGTTCTCTGCAGAATGTGAGCCGTGACGCCGAAATCTAAGCAGACACCCCAATTTCAAAGAATTATTTTCCACTGATAGATAACCTTTTATTAAGAATTCGGGCACAGTGCACTCCTTTATAGTTAAAAGTGTTCTGTGGCAAGTACTTACCTTTCAGTAGTGAATTTCGATTTCTTCAGAAATGTTATTAAAATATGATACCTTATAGACAATGTCTTGGAATATCACCCATGACAGGGGAAACCTTCTTAATGCCTTTGCTTAAATGTGTCTAAAGTATTGGTCTTTTTTTTTTTTTCTATCATTTTAAAAAAATTTATCTTCATTGTTGAATGTACTATAGATATAGATGTCCCTTTTTTTTCCCCATTGACCCTTTATCAGTCAAGGCTAAACTACCTGCAACTTGTGAGAGGTTTATCTAAACTCTGACTCCATGTTCAATATACTCCCAGGTTGGACTCCATTTATGTTAAATCAATACTCTATATCACACTGAACTGGAAGACCCAATACAGTGAGTCAAGTTTATAACTGGATGCATGTAGAATAAATTTAAAAATCATTGAAAACATAACATGCTAGCTTTGTCTCCATGGCAATCGCAATTTTGTGTGTGTTCTCACAGAGTATAATGAGACAACAGAAGATGTGTCAGCAGATGAACGCCAGGAAATGGAGCTTACAGATGAAGATGCTACTATTATAAGTACAGTTGTTGCAGTGACCACAGAAACATTCATTGAAAATACGAATTCTACCCTCATTGATGAGGAGGATCATCAGCTAGAGTTTATATTAATGGTGCTGATCCCAGTGGCTTTATTGGCACTCCTACTCCTATCAGTGGTATTCATTGTAATAAATTATAAAAGAAAAAAAGCTAAAGAAGGTAAATATTTTGTGTGTTCCCAGTTGCAGACAATTGCTTCATGTGTCAATGAACAATCAATAAAATGAAATGCTTTTTGCTTTTACACAGAGCTGCCTTCTAGCCAAGGATCTCAGAGTGCTTTACAGACATGTGAGTATCATCCTAACACCTGCCTGGAGTTGGGGATGGGGTAGGAGAAGGAAGTGAAAGGTTTTAAGTTAAGCAACAAAGGACTGCATAAAATAGTAAGTCATGAATGACATATTTCAATGAAATTTTCCAGGGTTTAAAAATGCCATATTTCTTTCTTTTTAAAAAAATAGAATGTTTTCAGCCTAAATTGAAATTTAATATACACAGCTGCCAGCTCTGTACCTAATCCAGATGAGGGCCCCATATAATCTTGGCCAATGGGTCAATGTAACCTGTCCCTACTATTGGAGGAGAGGGTAAGGCTAGTGAAGCAGTGAGTCAGAATGAGGTCAGGGATGGGAAGGCAGAGACCTTGGGGTCATTCCACAAGAAGAGGATTCTTCCACCTATATTTCTGTCATAGACATTGTTTTCTCCCCCATGCCACATCCCAGTTTGATCTTGAAAAGGCCTGGGTGAAGCATTGTTCTTATTCCCATTAAAACTATGCTAACTTTCATAAGCAAAGTCCTAACTGGCTAAAGATTACTATCATCAATCTCATAGAAAACCAATCTCAGAAAATTCCCTAAATCAGAGATTTACTCTGAGAGTATTCAGCTCCAAATCTGGGAGCATCAAATACTAGGTTTTAGGACATCTAGGTCCAAAGGAGACTTGAGTATTTTTGGCTTGTGCTGGTAAAAATGATTCCAATCAGATTTTTAAGTTGAAGCCTATAGTCACTCAAAAAATCATTCAAGGGAAGAGAATTTCCCTAATAAGATGCATATTCATATGTGCATACCAAACTCACTGGATGTCCCTTACACCCATTAACGGGGCACCTCTGGCCTTGAGATCATGCCCTTGGCCTGCAGGCCTTGCTCGCTGTCCTAGCACCAGGAGAGCCTTTAAGCTCTCAGCGGGAACTATAGATGGTCATTTTCCACTATGCCCTCAGATACAGAGAATGTGAGCTGGGGAAAAGCCCTGAAGTGCATTACCTTTCCTGATGGGGGCTAATATAATAGATTCCAAGGAAGTGCGAAATACACATGTTCCTCCATTGCTTGAAATTTCAGGGTGACCTAATAACAGTGATCACATGGGAGCTCTTTGGTAAGCTAAAGAAAAGAAAAAAAAAACAGAGCCGCCTGGACACACACACACACACACCCCTTTTTAAAGTAGAGAATGTGAGAATTTCCTGCCCAAACCATAGATAGTCCCACAGCTAGTTTTACCTAATGGGTTCCTGGGGTTGGGAGGAAGTTGGGGGTATCCAGTCGAATGGTCATGCTCTTAGGCTCTAAGTCCAGGGATCTTTTCATTGAACTTTATTGTGAGAATCTCAAAGTTCAGAGGCCATCCTAAGTGAGAGCCAGCTCCATCTCAGACGTGCCCCATCCTACACCGAAGCCATGCTCAAAGCGTTTGCTGTGGCGGAGCCTGGCTTGCACTTTGATGAGGCCTCGGTGAAATGGCGCCTGGTTGACACCGTTTCTCTGCCTGGGATTGCCTTCTTGTCTGCTTGGCACACTGCAACCCCGTTCTTCAACGCTCAGTTCTAAAGTGGTCATGAAGCCTTGAGTAATCACTCCTCGGGCAAAATTAATCACCGCCTCTTCCGTGCTCTCATAGGCTGTGGTCACATTTATTGTGCACAGTTGAGCGCAGTGTTTACAGTGGCATAAGCTGGTGGCTTGCCTCTTTTGGGTCTTTCTTTCTTACTAGGTTATGTTCTCTTTAAGGTCCGAGAGAACCAAGAGCAAGTCTTATTTATCTTGTTTAACAATGTGGCATGGAGACTGGGAGGACAGACTCTGGAGCCACACTGCCTAGTTGGCTTTTGCATTTCCTAGTTCTGTGACTTCTCTGTCAGCTTCCTCATCTGTAAAATGGGCAAATTCAAAACTTACCTCACAGAGTTTTTGTGAGACTTAAATGGATTCATCCATGGAAATCACTTAGAAAAAACAATACCTGGCATATTGTGTTAATTCAGTGCCCTTTTACCTGACATAGTGCCTAGCCCAGCATATAGATTAGCTGCTCAATGGATGTTTGGTGAATAAATGAAACAATGTTAGAACTTATTTTAAAGAACACCTATTCTCAGAGATCAAAAACAAAATTTTCACATATCCTTATCACAAACTGGCACATTCTGTTTAGTTTAAAGAAACTAAGAAAACACAGCAAAGAAAACTTGAATTTCAAAGTAGTTGCTTATCACAGAAGGTTTTGATAAAGAGCTTTATTTGAATATTTTTATTAGCCACTCCTTTAATATAGGTACAGGTGGTTAACTGTTTAACACTTGCATATCTCTTCAGACAAACTGGATGCTAAAGGGTTAATGACCACTGTCCACTGAATTCTACACATTCATATTTAACATTATAAGCAAGTCAATAAAAGGAGAATGTTTAAATTCACAGACTCTGATTTAAATACTTTATTCCCCCCAGGAAAAATAAAACTGCCATTCTAGGTTAGCATCTTGCTTGAAAAGTTCCCGAAGGACTGTTTTGCGGAAGGGCATGGATGATGTCCCCTCAGAGTTAGAGCCTCCTATATTCTTCTACACCTGGAAATAAGCGTTTAAATCTGACAACTGGGAGGACTTGGCAAAGCGTTTTTAGGGAGAATGCTTCATCTAATTGGGAATTACCTTTAGCTTTGGGCCTGTCAGGTTTGTGTCCAAGAAAAGGGAAGCACTGTGTAGTAACTGGCTGTTCCATTGTCATTCTTCCTACACCTCCAGGCGTTAAATTTGCAGTTGTTATTATTTAGCGTTTATTAAATGTCTTGGTGTGCTGTGTCTCTCGCAGGAAGAGCTGCAGGGGAAACAGCTGGCAGTAAACCATCACTTTAAACAGGCTGTGGCCACATGGCACCTGGCTCTGCTCAGTAAATCTCCAGGGAGACTGTCTCCCTTGCTCACTGTTCAGCATGGAAACAATATGAGCAAGCCGGTCTCCTGCTGGGCTCTTGCCGCCATCCTCCACCCCACCACTCCCACCGTCGGGTGCCCAGAGTAGCTGGGGTGGGGGATCCTCAGGCCAAGTGCAATGTAGGAACCGAAAGAGGGGGACAAAGTGGGTAGAAGGATGCGAAGTGGAAGGGCTGTGGGAGGGACATGGAAGCAAGGGCGGGTGAGGGGCTGTGGAAGGGCTGCGTTTGCCTCCTGGTTGCAAGGGAGTAGGTGGCTATTAACAGAGAGATGGGGGCCAGGTGGAGGGGAGCAGGCAGGCCTGATTGCTGAGGACGGTAATGGGTCTCCCTCCCGGTTTAATGCTCGGCTCTGGAGTGCTCTCCCAGATGTTTTCCTGTTGCCATGGCGGCTGGGGCAGGGGTAATGGTCCTGGAGCAGGGGAGATGAGGCTGCAGGAGGCTTTTTGCTCTGTTTGAATACTGATTGCAGGAGCTTCACATTCGGTGCATCTGGAGCACTTTGGTAATGGGGTTTTAAACTTTTCCATCATCTACTGCTAGGGCTAGTTTTTGCTTCCTGAGAAGCCTGCGGGCCCTCAGATTATAAAGATAAATCCATGCCCTGGACAGTGGGGCTCCAGGGACACTTGCTCCCTGAGAAATTAGCAGGGGGTTATTAGGCAGGGATAGAGGGAGAGGGAGGAGGGAATGACAATACAGAGGGATTTTTATGGGTCACCTGCAGGGGCTTTATTTATAGTTAAATCCCTTAAGGAAACAGCATGTAAGTTTTAGATGGAATATATATATATGATGTACAAACACACTTTTCCCCAAAGTCTTGAAGAGTCAGGACTCTGCAGGACTCTTCGGCTTCCTATTGCGGGGTCGGGGGTGGATCGGGAGGACATAGCCGACAGCCCCTGGAAGGTAAGGGGTGATGGCATGAAACTTACATTGGTGCCCAGCTTTCCTGGATTAGCAATGCCACTCGAGCTTGCCAACCCACAGAAAATCACAGCAGCTCCCAGATGCTGCCAGGAGCTCAGTTCCAGGTGCCTGTTGGTTATGTCCCCTCGCTGGGGACCTGCATTTCTGCAGGCCAGACAAAATGAGGCCTCTGATTGCCAAGGATCAGGACCTCTACAAAGTGGTTTGCTTCTTAATGGTTTTCACATCATAAAAGGTGCAGCAGGCCTATGCTATCCACTTGCTTGACATCATTGCCTCATTTCTCTGGGTGCGTTGACCCCCTTGCCAAGCAAAACAGAGCTTGAGCTGGGACATTGGGCTCTGATTCTTGCCACATGTTCATTTGGAGTCTGATCTGCATGCATTAGAGTCATTTTGCAAGCTGTCATCTGACTCTTACCTCAGCCAATAGCAGGGGAAAGCAGGCTTGTTGGAAGTTTCACTACTATGATAATGCTAAGTCCGAAACACTGGCCATGAATTTAACCCCAGTGCCGGACAATCCAGATTAGGATCTATTCATTTATTCAGTAAATGAATACTGTGTGCTTACCAGGTGCTGTGCTAGATGGATGGGGAGTGAGGGGTGCTAGGACAAACAAGACAGACACAATCCCGGCCCTTTGGGGGCTAGGGTCTATTGCAAGAGACAGATGAAAAAGAATTAAACAGGTGAATCCATCAATGACAAGTTGGGGCAAATGCTATGAAGGAAGCAAGCAAAGCACTAGCTGGGAAACAGTAGGAAAGACGGGCCCCGCTTCCAGTAGAGGAGTTGGGAGAGGCCTCCCTGAGGAAAGTGTGTAAGTTGAGGACAGAAGTGAGGGTTTCAGCCACACAAAGAACAAGTGCAAGGAGAGTTCTGAGGGGAGCTGTGGATGGGGTCCCCCACATCCTACTCCAGGACAAAGGGACAGTCACAGTGTTTTGAACTGGGACATTTTGGAGCAGGGGGCCAAGGAGTAAGCCCTCCTGTAAGACCCTTCCTCCTTCCCCTTCCCACTGCTTTTCTCTTTGTGTGGAGAAAACAAAGAGGGCTGGACGTCTGATCTGAAGTGAGGGCTCTCAGGGTACCATCCTGTCTGAAAGAAAACAGATTTTGCGCGAATTGGGACCCCTTTTCAATATGGCAATCAGCACGTGCTTGACTTAGAGGTTAATTATTGCTCCTTTAAAAACACAATTGACTTAAAACCATTTTGTTCTCTTTGTAAAGCAGATTTCAGCTGTTGTTGAAATAAAAAGCTGTTGCAGACAAACAAAGCTAACATGACCTTTATATTTATTCTCTTTTAGATGAACAGGGAAGCGACAACTTAAAAGTGTAAGTCTTTCCCACTCCCTCCAACCCAGCTTAGTGCGGACAAGGACCTAGGGAGAGGAGCAGATTAGAGGGGTATCTGACTTTTCAAGAGTTTTTGTTTCTTGTGGGGACCTTTTGCTTCCCGGGCCCCAGGAGACAGCCTCTAGTGGTCTACAGCCATTGAAAGGATGTCCCTGTCCACAAACTTCGATCCAGAAGGGGACCTGGGCTGAGGACAGGGTCCTCTGTTGAGAAAAGAATCTTTTTCTGACAACTGCTACCAGTTCCAAATGCATAGTAGTTAAATATTCTGACCCTGGGTGTTTTCCAAAGACATCGATTCATTTATTTGGATTAAGACTTTTATCACCAGGGAAGTTACTTTGGCTGGTACTAAGGGAGGAGAGCCCTGGTAGAAGAGGAATGGAGGGGAGGAAGGTCTGAGGGAGAGGAGGGAGTAGGGAAGGAAGTAGACGATTCACCGTGGAAGAATGTTCTAGAGCGATGCCCAAGTCCCCCTC